TATATATATTACGTTCTCACGTATATTTTATGCTTTGCACCTTACAGACAATTAATTTCTCTTACGCGTACCGCCCTTACGGAGAAACAAAATACGTGGCTCTAAAGTGTATCTTTGGCTCCGAACCTGTCAACAATCCTAACGGTGACGACCATATAATTGTGGTATCGTCTTACGGCGGTAACACACAACAATCTAATGGCATATTGAATGAGGTGGATGCAGAACCCGGAGCAGATGGCGAAAGAGTCGGCATTAATGCTCAAGCATTTGAAATTGTGGCTGAACAAGAATTTGCAAATGTCTCCCGTAACCCCCCTATTTCAGTAATTAACATTTCTTCAGGTACATCGGACAATGTCGATTTTGACATGATGAACTACCTTAACTACGTGTCTGATTCTGATGGTTCAAGAGACACGGAACTAAGCACAGCTAACTCACAATTCGTGGACCATCCATCGGCGTTAGGGAACTCTATTTGCAGTTCAAGGCCGGAAAACATACAAAAATTAAACCCTTTTGGTACTCCGAAAATCTCAACGGCTTCTAACAAGCCACACTTCGTTGGGTTTTATACTCCCGAATGAATTAAAATTGCTAAGGTTCGGTGGTTTGCGTTTTGTATGTAAGATTGTGTGAATGTCGTTCTAAAAAATACTTTGTTTTGTGCACTTATGTTATTGTGCATGCAAGATAGTTCAAGTGCTTTAAGGTTTGTTTGAAATATGGTCACAATCCATGATGTGTGTATGCAGTGTTCTGCATTTGTAGTTTTTGATTACTAGCAACGCTGACAGTTAGGTTGTCACTATTATTCCATTGTTCTAATTATATTTTGGTAGTTAATGTTTCCATATTTTAAAATATGCAGCTCCATTTAGTACACGAGCTTACATTGCTTTTTTTTTTTCTTTCATTAAAAAAAAACAATAAACATTGAAACTAGGAGATACAATCTGTAGTACTAGGAGTTCAAAATAAATAGTTCATCTTCAAGGTTCGCCAAAAAACAGTAGCACCAACATGGTGTACTGAACCTTCATCCCAAAAAAATTACAAAAACTATTCGATAATGGTTCGGAACGGTATTAAAAAACTTATAATACATCGGTCATTAATCATCAAAAAACAAACCTATTAATTCTTCGCAATATTTATAACTGTTTAGTACCTAATAACGACCCTCTATGATGAGCTGCACCATATTTGTCTTGTGCTCATCAGTCAAACAGAAGAAAATGTCGAGGTCCTTGCTATTATCGCAGATTCTGGATGTCACTTTTAGTCTTTGCTCAAATGTGAGCTCCTCCATGTTTTGTAGGGCGTCAAAAACTTGTTTTCTAGCCGTGGAAACATCTTTTTCGAAACCCATGCGACTCACCAATTCACCCATCTGAGCTTCTATTTTCTCGAAGAAATTTGCAGCCATCTCTATGTAGCCACCGTCAAACGCATCACTGCGTGAGCGTTTCTTCGATTTCGATTTTGGTTTGGAAGAGGTCGCCTCGTCAACACGACTGAAGGACATGTATTGGGAGTAGGGGTGGAAATCGGAACGAGATTTCCGATTTCCGCCGATTCCGATCCGAATATTTTCGATTTTGGAATGATTTTTCGTAATCCGATTTCCGAAATTCCGATTTCCGAAAATTCCGAAAAAAATCGGATCGGAATCGGAAATTAATATAAAATTTTTGGAATTTCCGAATTCCGATCCAAAAATAATTCCGAAAATTTCCGATTATTTCCGAAAATTTCCGATTTTTTTATGTATTTAAAAATTCGTTTATATATATTACATACAGTATAAGGCTAGTATAAGGACTGGGCCATAATTTTATTTAAAGATATTAACATTTTGACCCATTTAATTTTGGCCCATTTAATTTTGGCCTATTATATAAGTAACCCTAATCTCATTAACCTAATTTTTCATTTTCCCTTTTTCATAACAGCGCAGCTTCAAGATTGCTTCTCTTCCTCTCTTACTTTTTATCCGCCGCTCTGCTTCTTCTTGTCAAGTGGCCGCCGCTCAGCTTCTCTTTGTCAAGTTGCCGTCGCACAGCAGCTCCGCCTCTCCTTGTGAAGCCGCCATCTGTTCTTGGTGCAGTTGTAATCGATCATTATTTTTACTTGAGAACCTTATAGGACATTTCTCGTTTATTTCGATTGACCACAAGATCTCAGCAAATCTGTGGTAAAATTTTAACATATTTGAGATGTTTTCATTGGTGATTGTCAGATTAATGAAAATATTGAGATCTGTGAAAAAATCCGAAAAATTTGTGTTTGTGTATTTTTTGTGGGTTTGTCTGTGTTATTTTTGTTGTTTGTTCAAGAAATTTGCAAAATTTTTGAAAAAAAAATCGAAAATGAAAGATTCCGAAAAAATCCAATTTTCCGAAATTTCCGAAAAAATCCGATTTTCCGAAATTTCCGAAAAAATCGGAATCGGAATCGGAATCGGTATTACGGTTCCGAAAAAAATCGGAAATTTTCCGAAAGCCCCGTATCCGATCCGATCCGTCCGATTTCCACCCCTAATTGGGAGTAATTATCCGCATTGGTAGGCTCTATATGCGGAATATACTCATCCTCGTTAGATATATGTCCCTTTTCTTGGTTATTCCCCACCAAATCATTAATAGCTTCGACAAAAGCTTCAGCATGTTCCCCAGTAGCACGTTCTTTTCCAAATATTTGACACCAATCTTTATAGAATGGCCACGATTTATATCGCATAGCACGGGGATTCACATCCGTCTACAATTTTATATGTAAAAATAATCAATAATTCATCTCAATGGTAAGCAATTTAAATCGACAAAATAAGAATTCAATACAAATTGTGTACTTTCAATTATTACCTTTATATAATCTTGCCAAACTTGATCGTCTATGACCTCGATTGTGTTGTTTGTATCATTCCAACCGAATCCCGACCTAGACAACATCGTGCTTAGAGAACCATAGTGTTTTTTCCACACGTGTATCTTAGAATGGATATGTGGCGTTGCTTTAAGGTCGGTACCGGGAAATTTTTGAACCATAAACTGTTCAAGAGTGCCTAAAAAACCGGTTTTAAATCCATTTTCACTCTTCCAACCCCTAGACACAATGTCTTTCAAGCCTAATATTAAAGTTTGTTCTTCAAGGACCGTCCAACTACGCCTATTATTGTTCACACCACCCTTACTTGTAGAACCCTTTTTGAATTGCACATTGTTTTCCATGATCCCTGTATTTGTTGGAAGTTTACCAATTTAGTGTATGATGGTATAAAATAAATTAAAAATACATTAAACCAAAAAAAAAACAAAAACTGAACAAATAAAATTGAACAACAAGGGCTGAAAACAAATAGGTTTACAATGTAGTTTACCAACACTCCACATTGTCATTAGATTCGAAAACAATAACTCATTAAAATAAACATGTGACTAGGGCAGAAAATTAAAACCAACTACGAAAACAATGATGGGTCTGGAAAAAACAGACTACAACTCTAATCTAGCGAGATAATAGCCAATGATTGTACATGTTCAACGCTATGGTATCCCGCCAATCAGTCCACTCTTGTGAACTTTCCACAGTATTAATGTAATCTTCACCACTAACCACACCTGGATTCTTACGGAGAAAGTCATCTAACGTTTCTTCATCAGGGTCGAAGTCATTCGTGGTTCGAATAAAGTTATGAAGGAGACAACAAGCCATTACGATCCTATTTTGAACTTTGATGGGGTAATAAGCAGGGCTTCGTAAAATTGCCCACCGTGACTTCAAAAGCCCAAATGCCCTCTCTATTATGTTTCTTGCCTTGGCATGTTTCATGTTAAAAAATTCTCTAAAGTTTCTAGGTGCACTTGGGCCTTGACCATATGCATCAAGGTGGTACCTAGCACCTCTGTAAGGTGCTAAGAACCCCTCGTCGTTCGTGTAACCGTTATCAACCAAATAGTAGTTACCTGTAATAGTAAAGAAATTCACGGTGGTTTTACGCAAGTCATATGGTTTAGAATTTGGAAAGTGTGCAAATTAATAATAACCTTAATATGTTAACTTGTACACATACATACCAGTAGGGACCCGTAACCCGTGTTCCCTAGTTACCGCGTCCCGAAGTATTCTACTATCTGCAGCCGAACCTTCCCACCCAGTTAGTAAGTAAATAAAGTTCATGTTATTATCGCACACGGCTAGGACATTCAATGACACATTGCCTTTGCGATTTTTATATCTTGGCTTATCAAGATAGGGAACGCGGCAATCTATGTATGTCCCATCAAGTGCCCTAAGACAACCCTAACAGTTGTAAGAAATGAATTACATGCATTGTTAACAATTAAATCTTTTTACTTGTAATTTAACTACAATTATAAGGTATGATAAGGCACATAGGGCTGTTTTACCTGAAAGTATGAAAAACGCTCGTTATCCGAGTTTTCGTCGACAGCTTTTGGTGAAATCAAAAGCATCTCATGTAGTTTTAGCAAGGCCAAAAGGACCCGATTAAAATGCTTGCTAACTGTATAACCTGATCTTTTGAAATGACTACGCACGACAACATTCTTCGTGTGGTGTGCCAAAATCTGAAGAAACATTGCAACTTGCTCGGGAATGGTAACATTTCTATTCGGTTTAAGACCACCAACATTTTCTAAAACGTAACACAAGCGATAAAATGTTTGAATATTCATTCTCAGATTGTCACGACAAGTAACATCATCGAATCCAACAATTGAACGCAAGTAATCAAGTTGCGAAGGGGTTCTGCCTATCAAACTATAAGATCGATTGTTATTTGATTGGGAATCACTCAAACGACGACGGTTAAACAGCCTAAACATGCGCATAGATATTAAAAAAAACAGCCTCAAATTAAACATTAGCTGATGCAAGACAACTACAACATCTTCCTCTTGTTTTGACAAATTCATCTTAAGGCGATAAGTCCCTACAATATGCACCCAAAAATCATTCAAAAAATTGGTCAGAATAATGACATCGACAACATATCTGATACGACATAGTACACAACATTAGGGAAAAATAACCCAAATTCAGGGTACAATATGTACATAAATGTTCCAAATTTGGCTACAATATACACATTAATGTTACAAATTAGGGTAAACAAATAATGTAGTAATTAAACCTGTAAGAAATACAAAATACGCACAAAGTTTTAAACAAGAATTGAGGACATACCCGACTGAGTTAATTAATCCGACGAACCCGGTGTTTTTTGAAAGAGGGTATCTATATACCAAATCACGAAACAAGCTTATGCAGAATATCAACTAACAACAACCTGAAATTGGTAACCATATTAGACGGATTTATGAAGTAGTGTGACTAATTAAAATACCAGACACGATGAACACAAAAATAAAATCCGTAACAAACCGACTTACCGGAGCAGAAGAGCAATGACCATACCAACACAAACGACTTTCAGTGGCCGTGTAATGGTGTCGAGTGCCTAGCGAGAGTAAAAGCCTCAGATGATATGCGCATTTTTAAGCTTCAGATTGAAAATTTTGAAAATGAAAACGGTGAAGAAGATGAAGAAATTACCTTCGTTTCGGGTTAGGGTTTGCTGATGTCGGGAAAAGGGGATTTTTTCACAAGTACTTTTTGTTTTTATATGAAAAGAATCAGTAATTACCTAAGTGTTGAAAGGGCAAAAACGATATTGCACAACCCATTAGATGATGGGATTAAAGGAGGACAACATATCACGCCAATATTGGCGTGACTGCCAATAATTCATTTGAGGGATGGAAACTGTGGGCCCCCTTCAAAGCCTCACCAAACAACCAAACCAAACATAATACACGAAGGTATTATTCATCCCATGAGGCCTAATATTGCAAACCAAAGAGGCCCTTAGAGTTCTAAGAGACTATTAGTTTCAGGAAATTGTGGAGATAACGTAGAACCAGGGGTGACATAGTTCTTCTCAAACTCTATGTTGTCTCCACCACAAAATAATTAGAATTGAACTAAATTATAAGAAAGCTCTTGAAAAAAATCACATCAAAGGTTATGGTTGTTTTCATTTCTTTTGTTCAAATAATATTAATAAGCTATCTAATTAAGCAAAATCATAAATGGTAGGTGAATAAATATCCATAATATTCGGAAAAAAAAAAATCCATAATATTCAATATGAATTGAAATCTTGACAGATTGGTGGAAATTTCTAGTAGCAAAAAAAGATGTAATATTCAATATGAATTGAAATCAAAGTCAAGCTTCTTGTTGGTTTTTAGTTGAAAAGTCAAGGATTACATATATAAAGATCAATTTTTCGTCAGCCATGACAATAAATACCAAGATAGAAAAGAATTAAAGGATAAATTACACCTACACCCATGAAATATGTTAAAATAACTTTAATGTCCTTGTGGAATTAGTAATTATAGCCACATCTCTGAAAGAATTACAGAATCAGAGATTTCATGTCCTGATGACCAATATGCACTATATTTGTTTTCCGCGGGGCCGTTAATGCTATCATAGACAAAAATTTGAATCTTATATACAATAATAAGGATTTAAGAAATGTTATGAGAGTGATGCCACCCCCTAGCTCTATGTTGCGTCCATCACTGTCTGAAACTAATAGTTCGTATGCATTATTCCATTAAGGTTTTATTATTGTGAGTAGTTACATTTTAATTATTTAGTTCCGGAGATATGGTGAGTAGTTAAATTTTGTTCTTACTTTTGATTATGATGGAAATAACAATTTTGACGGAACTGCTTAAATCATCTCTTTCGATTAATTAGCAACTAATCATGAAGAAAATGCTACTACCGAGTTTCTGGACAAAGTTCTCATCTAACTTGATTCATCGCAGGAAGTTCATGTAATATATGTTCGATTTGGAGCAGAGAAAGATGAATGGGTTAATGACTTAATGTAAGAGATTCTAATATATATATATATATATATATATATATATATATATATATATATATATATATATATATATATATATATATATATATATATATATATATATATATATATATATATATATATATATATATATATATATATATATCTCTCTCTCTCTCTATATCTATTTATATATAAAAAAAACAAAAACACAAATCTATATATCTATATATCTATCTCTCTCTTCCTCTCTCTCATGTTGAATATCAATGGTATCCAAACAAAGACATAACAAATATATATATTTAAAATATAAAAATATTAAATTTTAATTTAATAAAAATATAAATCTAAATCTCAATAACTAAAAAAAAAAAATATAAATAAATAAATATTTAACATTTAAAATTTATACATATATATTTACCCTTTCAATTTATAAATAACAATCAAAAACACACACACACACCCACA